AATGGTCACCCTTAGTTATTAGGGTCAAGGGTCACCCTTAGTGGTTAGGGCCAAGGGTCACCCTTAGTGGTTAGGGTCAAGGGTCACCCTTAGTGGTTAGGGTCAAGGGTCACCCTTAGTGGTTAGGGCAAGGGTCACTCTTAGTGATTAGGGTCAAGGATCACCCTTATTGGTTAGGGTCAATAATAACCCACATAGGTTATGGTCACAAGTCACCCTTAGTTAGGGTCATGGGTCATCTTCAGTGATTAGGATCCAGGGTTACCCTAGCCATCATTGGTTTCATAGTATATTATTTTATTCGTGTAAGTAAGGCCCAGCAAATGTTAGTGCTGCTATTGCTGTTGTTGTTGTTGTTGCTGTTGTTGCTGTTGTTGTTGGTTGGGTTGTTGTTGCCATTGTTGTTTTAGGTGGACTGAGTAAACTACTGAGTGAGTATTAGTGCGGGTAATTGTGTTCGTCATTGTTAGAAAGCTAGGGTGACGGTGGAGCTAGGTGGTTGATGGCCTACTCTCCCTTGTAGGAGCGATGGGTCTAAAAGTCGGGATAAGAGAGTCAATTATCGCTGAATGTACCATCCCCCGTCGACTGCTACAAACTCTCCCCTCAATTTACGAACATAGTAGTTGCTGGAATCGTAACGAAACGAGGTCGTTGGTATGCCTTGCGTCTCTACTTCAGTACACCATGTGAACGTGCTCTAACCCCTTAAGTGAAATAGCGCAGCTGCAGCCTGTATCCGGCCTCGTTGAGTGCAGCTCAATAATACAAGTAGGGTTCACACAGTGTGTGTATCAACGATCTATCGACTATGTTCACTATGTCGCATGTAACTATAATCTGCGGAGCGCAGCAGCCACGTGCTTTCTGATGCTGATGTCCTGGCCTGTGCATCAGTGTTGGAATTGTTTTGTGATCTAATTAATCAGTGGTAGGGAGCATACCCCACGACTATCCTACGGACAGTAACCTTGGAATGTTGCTATGGGCGCCAGAGAGACTAGGAAGCAAGCCAAGATGAGATAACTTGGTTTTTTCTGCATATATGAAATGTTGCAGTTAACTGTTGTTGCTGCTGCGACTGCTACTGCTACTGTTGTTGCTGCTGAGACTGCGACTGCTACTGCTACTGCTACTGCTACTGTTGTTGCTGTTACTGCTACTGTTGTTGCTGTTACTGCTACTGTTGTTGCTGCTACTACTACTGCTACTGCTGCTGCTACTGCTACTGCTGTTGCTGCTGCTACTACTGCTGCTGCTGCTGCTATTGGTGATACTGTTGTTGCTGCTACTACTGTGGCTACTGCTGCTGCTGCTGCTGCTATGCTGCTGCTGTTGCTGCTGCTATTGCTGCTGCTATGCTGCTGCTGTTGCTGCTGCTATTGCTGCTGCTGCTGCTGCTATTGCTGCTGCTGCTGCTGCTGCTTCTGCTACTACTGCTGGAGATCTGCTCGCTGTCTGTTGAGTATCTGGTTGAGATCTCTGAAGATATGATGGAGATCTGCTTAATATATATTGGAGATCTATGGAGACCTGCTCGAGATCTGCTGTTCTACTGTATCTGTACTAGTATCTGATGAAGATATCTGGAGATATGCTCAATATCTCTGAAGAACTGATGGAGATGTGCTAATAATATCTATTGGAGATCTGTTGAAATCTGGTGGAGATCTACTAGAGATCTGCTTGGTTTAGTATCTGCTGTAGATCTGCTTACTATAAACCATATCGGAAAGTCCCCACCGCCATATTGAGATCAGATAAGAGGGGTGATAAGTTGCCTATATATAACATGGTTACAATAGTACAATAGTCTAGGTTTTTTTTTTCTATAATTCTCTTCACTAACATCGTACTTCAATTCGCAGGTGCGTGTCTGTTAACAGAAACATTTACAAATATGATTGTGGTCATTTGGGATATTTTACAATGTTTGTGTTAATGCAAAAACTAAAAACACATTAGTGTTTACATTGATCATGTACTCCTAAGTGCGCCGCGGCCATTTTATGCCCCCTTTTTCTATGACCTAAATAACACAGCTGGACTTTCCGATATCACTTATATTCTGACTGGCTGCTGCTTGAAGTGTGTTTGATGGCTCACATGCACAAGTTGGTTTGGGATGTCTTGGGATCACGTGTTGGTCTGTTGTCACGCTCTAGTCCCATGTTCCGCCATTGTTCTGCAGGTTAGCAGCATTGTTTGAGC